AGGATCATCAGGATCTCTCCTCCCTCTCAGACTTGTTGGTCTCTGAGGAAGCTTACCTGGACCAGCCAGGTACGTCACAGGGGATTCAAATGTCCGAGGAGGAGGAGGACAACTCACCTCAAGGGCCGTCCTTCAGCGGCCTGTTTAACCCCTCTCTTTTTGTTACCATTCTGCGCAAGGCGGAGGCCACAGCCCATCTTCGGCATGGAACAACAGCGGAACCTGTCACAGTCGACACGGAGGCTGAGCCAACGTTCGCCGAAAAGGTAACCACTCATCACCGCATACCATGCCCGACCATGTTCCTAAACACAATAAGGAAACAGTGGGCAACGCCAACCTCCCTACCGCTTCCTAGCAATGCAGAGAGGAAGTTATTTAACGTGGCAAGGGAGCTAGAGGGAACCTTGGAAGTGCCGGTGGTGGACGAGCCCTTAGGACCCCTGATATCGGACATGGCCATATCAGGAGATTTTGCTGAGGCTCTTAAAGCCGAGGACCGAAAGAGTGAGTCCAACTACTGGAGAACGCACCAGGCAATAGCTTGGGCTACCAGGGCGACCACCTCCGCATCCTTTTTCACCAGAGCCACACTATGTTGGCTCCGTGAGTTACAGGGCCGGGTTCCCATGGAGGACGTACGTACTCACCAGGAACTCAGCAAAATGGTAGCGGCCACGGAGTATGCGTCGGACGTGACACTCTTAGCGACCAAGTTTTCAGCCAAGGCAATGGCAGCAAACAACACAAGCAGGCGCCTCCTCTGGCTAAAGAACTGGCAGGCTGATACCAAATCCAAGTGGAAGCTGGCTTCGGCCCCGTACCAAGGGGCGAAGCTATTTGGTGAGGCGCTAACGCCATACCTTACAGAGAACAAAGACAAGCGCAAGGTCCTTAAACACATACTTAAAAGGCAGGACAAGAGACCCGGTTCCTGGGGAAGGAAGCAATCCTTTCGTACGGAAACCAGGGTCAACTACTTTCAAAATTCCCAACCCTTCCAGGCTAGACAGGATAGGGAAGGACAGGGAGACAGACAGAACACAAGACATAGACAGACACAGGGAAGACGGCCCTTTTGGGGGAACAACCGCCCCTTCCGCCGTACCAGATGACTCCCAATCAGACCTTCCCATAGGGGGCAGACTAGCAGGGTTTGCCCCCCAGTGGGAAGAGACCACCACGGATGTATGGGTCAGAGACACCATACGTCACGCCCTATCCCTAGAATTTCTCTCAAAGCCCCCGAACCGTTTCCGCCCATGCCCCTATCCCACAAACCCAACAAAAAGGAGGCTCATGAACGAGGCCGTTCAACATCTCCTAAACATACGGGCCATAGAACCGGTGCCTCTATCCTCTTTGTGGTTCCAAAATCCTCGGGGTGTTGGAGAGCCATTCTGGACCTAAAAAGGCTAAATTTCTACCTAAAATACCGCAGATTCAAAATGCAGACACTACGCTCCATCCTTGGAAGCGTAAGGAAAAGGGATTTTCTGGCATCAATCGACCTCACGGAGGCATACTTGCACATCTGGGAGCTGTCATAGACACAAAGGAGTGCAAGGTGTACCTATCACAGTAACGCCTCAGCAGCATAAGGAAAACTGTAAAACAGGTAAGCCGCGGTCAGTCAGTGACGCTGGTCGGCCTCTCCCAGCTGCTAGGGAAGATGATATCGACCGTAGCAATAGTTCCTTGGGCAAGGCTGCACTCAAGAGAACTGCAGTGGTTCATGCTCCCGTTTCAGAGACAGCAACTCAGTGCATCCCGGAGAAGGGTAGGCATACCTCTGGGAGTACGACACTCCCTCAGATGGTGGCTATCTCCAGCCCTCCTCAGAGGGTCCCCCTTCAGGGACCCAGACAGAATAGTAGTCACGACAGATGCAAGCCTATTCGGCTGGGGAGCCCACTTGGGGACCAAGTGGACACAGGGCCGCTGGTCAGCGGTGGACCTCCGACACAACATAAACTGGCTCGAGCTACGAGCTATTCACCTAGCGTTAAGACATTTCCGGAGCAGCATAAAAAGCAAGCACGTACTAGTCCTGACGGACAACGTGACAGCCAAGGCCCACATAAACCGTCAGGGGGGCACACACTCTCGCTCGCTCTCGGCCGAGGCCCTCCTACTGGGGGCTTGGGCGGAACAAAATCTGGCCTCCATAAAGGCCGACCACATATCGGGGGAGGCAAACATTCAGGCAGATCTGTTGAGCAGATCAACAATAGATCACTCGGAGTGGCAACTACACCCGAGGATCTTCAGGGAGATCTGTCACCGCTTCGGGCTTCCCCAAGTGGACCTATTTGCCTCTCCTTCCAATGCCCACTTGACTCGCTTCTTCTCCCGATTCCCATCCAGGGGAGCAGAGCAGTCGGATGCATTACGGAGCCCATGGCCAAGGGAACTCCTGTACGCATTCCCACCCTTACCTCTCTTTCCGGCAGTAGTACGCAAGATTCTGCGGGAAAGAGCCGAGGTAAATCTTGTGGCCCCTTATTGGCCAAGGAGACCTTGGTTCGCAGACCTGAGGAGTCTCTCCCGCACGAGTCCATGGCGGATTCCTCCGGAGAGGATCTCCCTCAAGCAGGGGGAGATCTCCCACCCAGAGCCACAATGGCTACAACTAGCTGTCTGGCACTTGAGTGGGCAATTTTAGCCAGGGGGTCTTGCTCACAGGGTGTAATTAGGGTCATTCAGGCGTCAAGGTGCCCATCCACGAACCGTATTTACGAGGCCACGTGGAGAAGCTTCCAATCATGGTGCTCTAAAAAGGAATTGTTACTTGAAAGGATTACAGTCCCCAAGATCCTAGAATTCCTACTAGATGGCTTAGAGAGGAAGCTTTCGCCAAACACGCTGCGCAGGCAGATCGCCGCCCTCTCAACTATACTTTCAGCCAGCCCCGTGAAACCTTGGGTAAGCATCCCTTAATACGATCCTTTCTCAAGGGGGCTGCGAACATCAGACCACCAACCGTGCACAGGTACCCATCATGGGAACTACCACGAGTACTACAAGCTCTTACCAGAGTGCCTTTCGAACCACTCAAAACATGTGACATTCGCTATCTGACCCATAAGGTAGCGTTCTTAGTAGCTATCACGTCAGCTCGACGGATATCCGAGTTAGCTTCTCTCTCAACGAGGAAAGACCTGTGTCACTTTCACAGGGACAAGGTAGTCTTAAGAATAGACCCTTCCTTCATTCCAAAGGTCAACTCCCTTTTTCACAGAGCGCAGGAAATAGTCCTACCAGACTTCTGTCCAAACCCAGCTCATGCCCTGGAACAACAATGGCACACCTTGGACGTACGCAGGGCACTAAGATATTACATTTCACGTACAGCGGAATTCCGACGCTCAGAAGCGCTTTTCATATCCTTCCACCCCGCCACTAGGGGCCGGAAGGTCTCGTCCTCTACCATTGGCAGGTGGATTAGGGCATGCATCTCTGGGGCATACCAGGCGGAGTCCTTGCAAGTCCCCAGGCATATCACGGCTCACTCCACAAGGAGCGCTGCCACCTCAGCAGCATGGGCCATGCAGGCTTCTATTGAAGAAGTATGCAGGGCAGCCACTTGGGCCTCGCCCTCTCCATTCATTCGCCATTACAAAATCGACAAGTACTCCTCTGCAGAGGCCTCCTTCGGTAGGAGGGTTCTCCAGCAGGTTCTAGACCAAAGTTACACAAGGGACCAGTCTATTCCCCAACCCAAGGGACAATAGGCTTTGGTATGTCCCACTGAGTGGATTATCCATCTCCAGTGCTGGAGAAGGGGCGTTAACTTACCTGAATGCCTTTTCTCAGCACGGAGATGGATAATCCACACCCAGCCTTATAGACAAGAATAATAGGGCATAGTTAGTTTGAGCCAAAACGTCTTACTGTCAGTCAATGGCTTCGCTCGTGTCAAGACTGGGAAGTCGTGGTCCAGGACGGGCGTGGCAACTTTGGCTGACTGATCTGATTGGGCAGGAAATACAGTCTCAACCCACTGAGTGGATTATCCATCTCCGTGCTGAGAAAAGGCGTTCAGGTAAGTCAACGCCCCTTCTCTTCCTTTTGCCTGTTTCATAACTATAAGGATATGAATGAGGCTAGCTAGTGTTGATGTTTGCTAAACTTACGTTTGAATTGAGAGATCTGTAGAATAGATAAATGCTCACTAAATGTGACACTGTTGGTAATGAATTAAAACTGTAATAGAGCATACTTATAAAATACATTCCAGTGTTGAATTAGCCGTTCATTGCTACTACAAAAGCAGTTTTTTGCATTTGAAACAAAGATGTGATGTATGACTTGTATCTTCTTTACTCAAGTATTTATAGTCCATCACTGTTGATAGGCATTAGTGATTTAAGAAATGTTGAATGCCATGCTTGTTGACTAACTTCAGTCAAATCTTAACTGAACTTTTCTAGTGCCAGAATACTTGGCACTAGAACATTTAGGTTAGTATACTTTGATAAACACTGTGAAGCAATGCAACTCTGAAAAATTATGGTTTGGTAAATACATTAGTTACTAAGTTAAAAATCTGATTGAGCTTCTTAGTTATGAAAGACAAATTGGTAAAGGCTTGTTGATGTTTTTGAGGAATAAGGATTTAGGCAGAAAACTGCTTATCATGAAATATTTTCACTTGTTTGTTCAGCTATGTTTTTTAATATGCTACAAATTAAAGCAGTTCCCTCCTCTCCTCTATGCATGCACCATCCCTAATAAAATTGTAGTACAAACTGGACGCTTGAAAGAAGCTTGCTCATTCCCCACACTACTTCCCTTGTGTTGCTTTACAGCCGACGCCAGCCTGAAAAAAACGATTCAGATGCTTCCTTATTGGCATTAACTTCCCAGGCTTGGCTTTTACTGAAGAATTTGTAAAAAGGAGCATCTGTTTGTCTTTTCTAGCTGAGGGTGTTTTTTTTTTTCCTGTTTCCATTGCTGCTTTCTTATTGGCTGAAGTAAAGAAGGAGGAAGGGTTAGAGTGAAGTAAGCTATGAACTCTGTGAATGTAGTTGGACTAGTTTTTTGAGGAGGATAGGAAAGAGAGGGTGAGCTATCGAAATCGGTACCAGCAGCTTCTAGTTCTCTTTCTCTCTCTCTCTCTCTCTTTCTCTCATCACCACCACTGCTCTCCCCACTTCTCTTTCTGCCTCTTTCGAACATGGTTGGAGATCATTGTAACCATAGCAGTGAAAGACCTGTACTTTCTCAAACTCCCAAAACTGGAATAAGTTGCAAAATGGTTCTACAAGCAGTAGGAAAAGTATTAAGGTAAACACTGTTTATAAATTCTTCTTATATATCACTGTCTTATTCTGCAGCATGTGTGGTACTAATTAATTTGTGGGATAATCTGCCCCTTTTTGATACTTAATGATAAAACCACCATTGATTGAATCGGGTTAAGGGGGGAAGCAGATTAAGAAGGCAGGAATACCTCAAAGAAATAAGCTGCAAGAAAGTTTTTTTTTAAAAAAAAAAGATTTAAGTTAATTAATGTCTCACATTTAGGAGAAATAGCTATAAATTTAGTAAAGATGACATTAGTTTAAATAGGTTGAATTTGTCCCAAATATTTTCTGTTATTTAGCATTCAGAATCAAAACTGGAGCTTACCTTTCAAGCATGCTGATGTTTAAATACTCCCTTTACAGATGCCACTAACATGAAATGAGAGAAATAAATTGACATGTTCATATCACAGTTAATCCTTTCTAAATGTTAAAGTAAGTTCTGTTGCATGCAGTGTCTTATTTTTGAAAATGGACTTTTAAGTCTTTCTTAAAGACTTTTAATGATAAACTTTTTAGTTAGAAATGTATAGTATAGCCAAAAACAGATTATTGGAACAGAACTTATATACTTAAAAAAGTAAAAGAGAGGAAGTGATAAAACATGCTGAAAGTATGTATTGATTCATAGCAAAGTGTAACATAATGTTGAGCTGTGGGATAGAGAGACAGCTTTCTGACTGGAGAATGTACCATAAAATGGAAAATACATTTCAGCAGGAATAAATCTTACTTAAATGCTAATTTATTTTTAAATATATTGTTATTTATTGAGTGGTAGGTTTTTTTTTTTAATTGTAAGATATCTTGTTTTGGTCAGGTTTGAGAGGGCTTCTTTTACGTCACTCAGTGTGAATTGTTATATCATCTCTCTGTGTGTCTATTTGTGTGTTTCTGTGTATTGGGGAGAGATTATGATACCGTGATGCCACATGATGCTATGAAGATGACTCTTATACTTAGGCTTTTTGAGGTAACTGGATAATTTCTTTGGACCTGGATTTCTGAAGCAGTAGGCAGCGTGTAATTTGGCTTATTGCTATTCTGAGATTCAGTGCACAATAGTAATGTCTGCTTTACAAAAAAAAAAAAAAAATGACCAGCAAGGTATAGCACCCCTCTTCTTTCTCCTCCACTTTCTTTTTGAACCTGTAGTCTTTTTTGCTTGATACCTGAGGACCTACATAGCAAAACTGTAACTCCAACTTTGTAAATTTGGCTAAAATATATACACAAGTTGCTCTGGAACAGTGCTAATAAATGTGGCTTAGAAAATCAAGCATACATTCATAATTATATCATTACTATGTTTTAGAAACTAACATTTTTTTAAAATGTTGATTCTTTCCTGCCCTGTTTATGATATTTATCCATGGAAAGGACATGAATTTAAGTATATTTTTAATATCAGTAAGTGGAAATTAATATATTTTCCTACAAATCATGTTTAAATTGTCATTACCTGCCTTATTTTCTGTATGAAAGCTTTTACGCATAGTATCTATCTAGTATCTATGATGTGGCAAATGAAAAAATAACTTGCCAGCTATAAAAGGCACCATAAATTGTGAATATAACACTAATGACTTGGTACAGAATATAATCATCTTACAGGGAGTTAAATGCAATGACTTTGTTCTGAGGTGGAGTTGTGGTTTGCCTGATAATGTTGGCTGTCATTTTTTGCTGAATCAAACTCTAATTAAGAAAGAAGAAAAAGATGATAGCATCATATAGTTGTTGTATCCTTCTTAACTATCAGACACCTAAAGTTTGCACGTGTATTATAAGTTCACTGATACAACCTTGGCCTAGAAAATACATATTCCAGTACATTGTAAAAAGAGAGATGTTTGACTCTTCCTTTTATCACTTTCCCCATTCAATATTTAGGAATTTGGTGTTCTGAGATGCATAAAAAAATTGGCATAATTCAAAATGAGGCAAACATCATAGCAAAACAAGAAGAGCAAATGAATCAATAGCAAAAAAAAAAGCTTCCAGCTCTTGTGTTAGCTAAGGTATATGTAAAAACATGAGGGTGTCTTGTGAAATCTTAGAAGTCAGAGGAAAAACAGGGAAATTTGGCATCAGGATTTCAACCCCTTATGGACAGTCTTCCCTTCTCTGTGATCAGGACTGGCAGAATATAATATAATTCAGGAATGAGGGAATCTTTAAAATGTGCTTATGGATTTAATTTATATAAGTAACTGAATTCAACTTTTCTTATCACAGAATTTGAGTGCTCTTGATATAGAATTTGTGTGTATGTGTGTGTTTCTGTAGCCTTAAGCAATGTGTATGATTAAATCAAAGAAAAGAATGTGGAGAATTTTTTAGTTCATTTGGCTTTTCAAACAGGCATTGGAACGAATTACAAACTGCAATTTCAAATGTACTCAGATACTCAAGTAAGATCAGAAAGAGACAATTCTTTGCAGATTTCTTTGCAGTACCAAATTCTGCTTGGAATAATGAATTAGCAGGATTGATGGTACAAATGTTTAATAGTTCTGTTACAGCAAATAGATAGTAATCAAACTATTAGAAAAGGGATACAAGGAAACAATTAACGTATACTGGCCCCAAAGAATAAATGCATAAATAGAATCAGTTAATATTTTATAATCTGATTCCATCCAGATGTGTCATAGAGGATTCACAAAATTCTCAGACAACATGTCTAGCACCTGGAGGAAAATAGTTTCGAGTATGAGTGTCAATGATGGTGGATAGTCTCTGCCAGTAACATTTTTAAAATGTAGATATATTGATTTGATAATTTTTATATTGCTTCTTTTTTGGGTTCCATTAAATTGTCATCACAGAATAGAACTCTGAGTCTGAAAATAGGCTAGCTTAAAATCAGTTGAACAGCCATACATTAATTATAGAAAAGTTGGAATAAGATGCCTTTGTTAAAAGTGTTTACTAAGAGAATTATGGAGGAGAGATCAATAGTGTTCAGAGTTATCTTTTTTATGCAGTTAAAAGATGTGTCCATCCCATTATTGTTTGTATTTACCCACTATTAAGACTTTTTTTCACCTAGATTGATTCAGAATAAAAAGTAAGAAACAGAATTGAGATGGATGCCAACAGCTCAGGGGAGGTACCCATTTATATCTGCAATAGTTAACTAAAATAAGTCGATTTTTGAACCTGTAGTTTTGTACCACCTTTTATTGAATGTTAAGTAGCTGTAAATAAAAAACAATATACTACTGGAACAGGTTATTTCTCTGATATTATGGCTGCCCATTACATTATTCAGTTGTGGAGGCTGATGGGATTTTATGAAATATTAAATTGCCTACGTCTGCTGCATTAATTAAATAATTAGTATATTAGAGTAGAGCAGAAATAAATTATAACAAGCAAGTTTTTATTCCATATTTATTTAATTACATGTCTAGCTTTGTTCTTGATATGATAACATTTTAATGAATACAACTTCTGCCTCCTAGAACTTTTTCCTGAAATAGATAATTAGAAATAATATAACAGCACTAGCAATCCTGCTGGGTAGGTAGGTATAGCCACAATCAATTTTATAATAATTTGATGTAGCAATTTAATTGAAAGTAAAAGGTAAAATATTTGAAATAAAACATTCTATTTATTATGATGTAATTTACTTATTACATTTATATATCCAGTTTAAAACAAGTGTATAACAAATCTTTGTTTAAGGAAGACATTAAATTTTATCCCCATTGGAACATTTAATTTCTTATTTAGATAGTAAGAAGCTTAAATAAAAAGCTGTCTTTTCCAGTTTGATCTACTGATTAACACTGCTAGAAAACTAATAATATAGAAACTTGTTTAAATAGTATTTTTTTAAAAAAGAGTAGGAGACCAGTAGGTAAAATGTAACTTGGGAGTTGTCCAAACTATTTTTATCCTGTTCTGTTCTTTTCTCAAACTTTCCATTTGCCTAAAATAGTTCAGCAACCAAACATTTGACAGAGCAAATTAGTGTCTGTAGCTGGAGTTCTGCATCTTTTAATCTTTCCAAGTTGAAATTTGATTGCCGCTTATTAGAAATACATCAAGTAGTACTTACCTCAGTGGTAGAAAATTGGCAGGAAGGTAACATTGATTTAAACTGATGAAAAAAGTTTATGTAATAGTTGTGCATGATGGATAGATGTGTATTTTATGACTAAACTAAAGATTTTGCTTCTGGAAGCTCAACTGTAAACTTATTAAATAATGCCACAAAAAGTGTATTTGTTTTTGGTTACATCATGGGTTGCTTGCGATTCCTCTTATTTTATGTTTTTTTAGAAAGAGATAAAATTTGTAGAGTACTGGAATGCAAGGCATGATAAACTACTGACTACCCCATCCCTTTTTGTGCATCTTAGAACTGCTTGGAAAAAGAAATGTTCAAAATATGATAGTTCATTGAAGATAAATTGATTTTTCATAGTGAATAAAAGGGTGTGGTATAACAAGCCTCTTAAAAAAGAATGAATAAACAAATGAACAACTCTCCTTGCATGCAAAAACATTTCTAGAAATCTGTATTCTGTCCACTTGAGTGATGCCATTGACTCCATCCAAGTTTAATGAATAGAATAATGCCAAAAAAAGATTGTCTGGCCATTATTGTTGAAAGATTGTGCATCCCTTCTCTAACCTTACAATTTCAGTTTCTTAGAAAGCCACTTAAAACTTTTGCTAATAAGTTCAGGTTTTAGTGCTTTAATAGTTTTATAAAAGATATATAAATAATAAACACAAATATATATATCCATGTATTCTTACACCTTGTATATATAATGACTAATGCAAATGAAATAGTAAACTTTTTATACCAAAATGTTTGGAGTTCTAATCTTTGACTGTCTCGATGCATGTCAAAAAATAATGACCCAACGTAGTTATTTTACAGAGCAACCTGGAGACTTCATTCCATAACGCTATATTTGTTGTAGCTAAATGATTTGTGTATAAATTTGTAGAGGT